TTTACTTACTCAGCCGCTTTGTGAGCGCTCGTAGAGTGGGTGAGCTCCATACTTTTTCACCTGGTCTGAGAGCGAAAAAGTTTCGAGCTCCACCGCTCTGTAAGTGTCACGAGTCGACTTAGTAATAACTTTAGAGTGTGCAATCGTGATCGTTCAATTTTAGTGTCGCTGCGGAAATCGATAAAATTCTCCCAGTTAAAGAGACACGTTGTCAACGATAAGTTGCATAACCTCGCCGATAACGATCGTCGAGATTCCTTTGGTTCGATACGCGACGAAACGATCGATCGCCAGTCCCAGAGGACTGGCTGCTAAGCGCGTACATACAAATCGGTGGCACGGCTTCCTGTACCGTATTATTTATTGAATCTATGCGGTAACGGTGCATGCATCTCCCGACGCTCTTCCAACGCGAGGGGGCATTGTTTACACCGGGATGCTGCACCGTTGATGCTCGCCAGCGCCGTATGGCGCAAGTTGTAGCCATTGAAACGGCGTTCCACGAATGTGTGAAACGCACGGCACGTCGGTGCAACGCGCGCCCGATACAAATAGAATCGCATTGCGAGACGACGCGCATCGGTGTCGCTTGTTTCCGAGCTGGTTTTATTTGCAGATTGTTCCAACTAAATTGGCACGTAATGCGTTTACCGCAAATAGCATCGCGTTTACTCGTTACGATCTACACTCCTGAAGCGATCAATCTGTGTCTTTATCTGGTTTGTGAAACAGAAGTTTTGTACCGGGCAAAATATTCTTTGGGCAAAATTCAGGTCACTGAGTGTATGAAAGATTTTTCGTAGGGGAGCTGCGTTTCCGAGAGAATTGATTTTTGATATTTTTGGGGGCACGCGTTTCACGGGACTAAAATTAATTGTAAGAGAATCGTATTGAGTATTCTGTGCCACGAACGACTTTGGATTCCATTTCTTCGATAACGGAGCCCCACACAGAAAAATGTTACTCTACATTTTCGATTCGATTTTACATATAGAATACTTTCACGCGAAATAGACACTCGACGACTCCAATTTCGGTGAACTGCGTGGCCCAAAACGTTCTTCGAGTCGATTATCTCGAGACTGGAGCTCCGTGCGAACAAATTTTACTCCACATTTCGACTCAGTTTTCCACGTAGAATCGCCTCTGCGTATCAGTACACCCTGTATACGCACGAGCGAATCGAGCGTCGAAGTCTGAAGCTTCGTGAATGAATCGCGGGGGGACTTTAATGAATGAATCCGTGTAATATCGCATCGAATCGCGATACTACGCGTGAGCAACCGGACGGTCGAAAAATTCTTAGCGTATCCGCGGACTAATCCGACAACGCCAGGTATGCCATCCTGGGCCACGGTTCGCAGCCTTTTAAGCGACAGGTGCAAACATTTGGGGGAGCAGAGCGCAAAAAAGGAAGCCGGTAATTGTAAGCCCCGGGTAGAAAAACCAGTTTGCTAAAAACAACCTGGGGCTCGGATCGTGTCTTGTTGCGGGGCTACCGAATAAGACGGGACGAGTCAGTGTACCGTGAGTACGGGCCAACGTATAAGGAATGTGTTGGATTCCTTTTGGAGACGAGGGAACGTATGTGGCGTGCGGGTGCATCGCTCGTTCCTTTCTTTTTTTACTATTATTTAATCAGCTGGAAGGAATCTCGGACCTCGACTTCGAAAAATCGGGATTTAAAAAACACCAGGGGAACATTATAGCCTGGTTTGCCGTAACTTCGCGACGATTAGCTCTGAATAAACGAAGAGGTATCCGGGTAAATAAATGTTTACAAATTTGGCTAAAGCCGAACGGCATTCGAACAACATCCGAATAATCAATTGTTCGAATCTTCTACTGGAATTCTTTCGACTCGATTAGTATTCGATTCCAAGTTCTCGGCGCTTCGCAATCGTCAGTTGACGCGTCGTTTGAACCAGCCTGACCTTACTTAACCCAAATCTCGGCTGAATCGGCCGGTTTCAGGTCGATCGTCCCGACCTGACCTTCCTTAACCCGATTCTTCTAGAATACGGTAACGAACTGCACGCGAACGTCGAAGCGGAAATCCTACGACAAGGCCCGTTAGCCGCGTATTTGAATTGAATAACGATCGCCTTTAAATTCGTATCTAGGCGAGCGTTGGCCGCGCGCGCGTACAGTCGCACGCGATCGGCTCGGGGCCACGTTCACGGATCGTCGTGTGTTCACCTGACGCAGCCAGAGCGGAATCCTCATTGAGATTCCACCGTGGTCTTTTTATATTGCCCTCGACGGCGCGGAGCCATTGTTCTCCGTCGTCCGTAAATTATTGCCACCGCCGCCGCGGACTCGAATTGCTCAAAAACCGTGTATAAATCATTCCGCATTAGAAGGTCACGTCACTGCGACCGATTGTTCGGTTGTTTCTCCTTGGTGAGTGTATTAGTATCTACCGGTACCGAGTACGTAACACGCGAGGGAGTTACACGTTGGACAACGCTCGGAAAGAAGTTGGAAACTTTTATCCACCAGTTGGCGAAAAAATCGAAGTATTATTGCGCGTATGGACACAGGAAAATAGAAAATGAGGAAACGTGTTATTCGTGAAATGTTACAAGTTGGTTGGGATAAGAAAAAAATGCGAATCAGTAGAACGTTATGTAAACAGAAGTTGAAGAACACTTCGTGAATGTTTCGAGAGGCGTTAATAATTAAATTTTATTTCTCGTTAATTCAAACGAGAAGTAAAAATAGAAAAAGATTAAGTATAGAAATAGGTTTGGTGACAAATTTTTGATAGGAGCCAAACGCCTCGACTCTAATTTTTATTCCTTTGGAAACTACATTCTATTCCTTATCGATCCTGAACTCATCCACTTTTTGATCAATATAATGCTATTCTAGAAACGAATAAAATTATTACACAACCCCTCAATTAATTTCTAAGCGTTCGGGAAACAACCAACATCCATCGTCTACTCGGTTCGAAACAATCCTCCCACTTGGCAATTTCGTCGAGAACAGGCTCTGTTTACCTTCTCGAATTCCCCGTGCGAGGAGGACAGGGGTCGGGCCGTTTCGCGCGGTGGCAAAAAGCCGCTAAACGAACGGCAGCTCGTTGCGAAACGTTCCTCGGCTGAGTTTGCCCAGCGAGCGTAATGATTCATCGTGACTTTCACAATGAGCATCGCAGGCCTTACGCCCCGCGGGGTGAAACGAGCAAAACAAACAAAATAAAAAGGAGGGAAGTCGCTCTTCTCTCGTCGCGGTTCGGCCGCGAGTGCATAAACTGAAATAGTCGTGTTTACAACCGTCGACGCAAAGATAAATATAAAAGCGGCCGGTGCACGCGCACTTGTGCACTCGAGAGCGGGGAAAAAAAGGGCGACGGGAGGGAAAAATCCAAAAGAAGACATCGAAACGGGGGAATGCGTTTGTCGCGCTGGCGGTGTAACCTGACGATGACGCAGCAGGAATTACGCCAGCAAAGAGTACGCTTAACCGACGCGGCTAGAAATGCGAATTTTTGTTGGTCGGGTTGGCGATGGTTAACAGTGGTTGTCGAAGGCGACGATGGCACGCAGCAGGAAGGATTTGGCGTGCGAAGAATGTATACATATCGCGTACAGTCGGACCCATAAATATTCGTACCCTAAATTAATTCATATTTATATATCCATCTACAGCAACATGTTTATACAAACGAACACTACCGTTCAATTTAAAGAAATTTCTTCGATAGACACAGTGGGTACGAATATTTCAGGTATTAAAAATATATTTTATCTAACAAGCACAATGCGCGAATAGGTTAATGCTTCACGAAAGACGGGATAAACTCGCGTGGAAAGTGGACGATCAGCGCGGAGCTCGCTAGTAAAGCAGAAATCGAAGCCGACGATCCCGTTGGAAGCCTCGGATAATTTACAGCTGGTAACGAAACGCTGGCAACTAAGGCATAACTCACGCGGGCAAATCAGTCTGTCAAATAAACGTACCGGCCGTAAACGTACATTTTCACCGTGTCCGAGTGAGATTTTAACGGCAATCTATGTCGTGTATCCATCAATAATCCCCGGGGATCATTAGGTGACCATTTTTTCGCGGATGGGGGGCACGAATAATTTGTGATCCGTGCGAGCGGAAATCTCTCCGGTTTAAAACGGTTTGCACGTGCTGTCGGCTCCAAAGATATCTCGCGATACGCGAGAAAATCCGTGATTTATTCGACGTAGATCACGCGAGTGCGTGAAACGACGAGTACGGGAGTAAATAGAGCCGTGCCTTTAATTTTTATGCGTGTAATATAATTTGTACCCTATATTTCATCCGATATATTACATATGCAGGAATAAAACCCGTGGATCAGCAGTCGAGCACTTGTCCCACTGGAGCATCGTCCTACTCTATCAGTAGTGTTCTTATCGAACTCATTACGTTAGACATGGGGTTGCAATACTACATATACTGACTATTTCATATTGTACGTTATATACTCTATGTTTCAAACCGTGAATTTTATATTTTATATTCACGTCTTATTTAAACAAATTTATTTCAAGCGACACCGAGAAGGACCTGTCAGCCATTTCACGCAATTAACATCCTCACCCGTTCGTCGCGGAATTTCATTTAGCGCCAATTACCGGAATCACCGAGATCCTCTCCGGTCCGTTTCTCGAATGTAAATCGTCCCGAGTCAAAGAGGAGAAGGTGAAGAAAAAAAAAAGCAAAAACAAAGAAAACGAGAGTTTTATATCGGCTCCGTCGCGCTCGAGCAAATCCACCCCGTGAAGCTTTCGCAGAAAAGAAAGTCAATAAGAACACATACCTACGTTAGAATTCCCCTCCCTTCCCCTCCTCGGTTACATTACCATAAACTCGTCTCGGCCGAGTGAAATTAACCAGCAGCGGGTCGAGCGCCGTGGCACGCGGACAAGTCGGAGAGCACCGGGATCCGTTGGCTAGCCAGCCGCGAAAATGCCGGCGCCCAAACAGAAACGAAACGTAGAAAACATCGTGGAACTTACCTCGCACCTGGAAGTGTCCAGTATCTCGACCTCGGTACTAACGTTATCGATGGTAACGCTGTGCCGGTACAGGAAATCTGTAACAGAGTAGAACGAGATTATACTGACGCCTTGATGAACGATAGGCGAGGAGAAGGCATGCCTGAACAACCCTATCGGGCAAAGACGCTGCGAGTACAACGGCCAGGGATGCGCAACACGCAGACAGATTAGCGTAAAATGAAGGAAAAAGAGAAATGATAAATAACGCAAATATACTTTGTCGTGCGTGGAGGCGGAAGGCTTTAAAATTGAAAACTTTGACGGCCTTCGCGATTACTGTACGTGGTTGTACCGTTGGCACGCAAGAAGAACGCATCTTTAACTGTTTCAAGATCGCAGAGTGATTTGCGTCGCTATCCCTGAGGTGACTATACTCCACGATTTCTAAATGGTAACAGAGTGTACACGCAGGTGTCCTCGAGTGCATTCTTCCCGCTCTCAAAGAACGCGGTCCACGAAAACATTCGTAGCTCCGTCGATTTTCACCCGATTCGAACGATATTTTAGGAGGGGATTTTAGGAGTTTCTCCCTTTCAGTAGATGCGAAAACAATCGATTTATCGAAGCTGTAACGGTGTTTCACGTCGGAAGTTGTGCACCGCTGATATACAGAGCTAGCGAAAGGAGCCCCCGCGAGAGAAGACGTACGAGCTCGCTCGGCAAGGATAATGAAATCGATCCGTCAGTCCTCTTCGAGGATCGAGAGAGATCTTACCGGTTACTCGGACGAGTAATCGTTGGATCTAGCCTAGCGTCCTTGGTCGGGCGATCCGTGAAACGATAAGTGGAAACCGTACACCCGGCCGAGATCGATCTCTAGGAGGCAGCGGGCAATATTAATGCCGCCGCGACGGTGAAACCGTCACTGGGGTAAAATCCCTGTTAATTCTTCAAATTATTCGGTTTTTTCTTATCTCCCTAGCTAGGACTTCCTTCGAGCTCAACGTAACGCCGGGTGATTTACGTCTCTCATTTATCTGGTGTCCTCGGTCGCGCGAGTTCTATGCGAAACGGCTTCAACTGCCGTACGACGAACGGAAGAAATTGAAATTCGCGATTAATTGGAGGCGATACAGATCCTGACGTACAGCGACGGCCGCTGGCTACGGGTACGCGCAACTCCCGCCACTGCTCGGGGGCAACCCAAGTGTGGAGATGAAGATTATATTGTATTTTATGGAATTATATTATTACTGGACTCGATGGAGTTATCAAGTGTCTGGAATGGAAACTATTTTCGTGCTAACTTGAGTGTTTTACTGTAGGGCCGTTGACCGAGGTTAGTAAGCTATACTTTCTGTCGGATCATAAGCGGCAGCTTAAAAAAAAAATTCATCTGGATTCGCTAAAAATTAGAAGAGTTACGAGGCAATCACGAACACACGTGGTTCGAATTTTATACTCGTGACGAAGTGAAGTACGAGCATCTTTGAACTACACCTCGATATTTTTATAACGCGTAGAAGCAACACGTGGAAAAAGATAAGAGGCTTCGCGCAATTGCGCGAATATGCGAGCGAAACGTAAAACTCGGAGTTTCCCGCGAAATAGAAAACGCGGTTAATGCGCGAAAGTCGCGGACCAGTTAGTAACGACAATTCCGATTTGACGCGGTGACGCCAGGCGTCGCGCCGCTCTGTCATTACGTCGTTTGCTGACAATGACGCGTAACTTTCCCCCGTGGAACTGTGCCCGCGTGACGGGGGCCCTTGAAGAGCACGAAAAAGTCGATTACGATCATTTCGACCTATAAACTCATTTGGGACTTTCTCATACCTCGTATCTGGAATTTTTGTAAAAAGTAGCATAGTGTAGGGCTGGAGGGATTCTCGAATTAAAACGACCGTATATCACCTCGACTGACTATCGTCGAATAGCGAGTTGAAAAGAAGCAGGGGGCCAAAGAAAATAAACTAAAGAGAGGATCATGAGCACAGCAGCATACATCGATTTAATGGTTACACTTATATAAGTAGATAAGAATAGTTGCAAGTTTATAAGACCAGAGAATGTGTGAGAGAGATGGAGAATGAAAGTAGATTGTAAAAGTTAAAATAAAGTATTATATACACAGAGGCTTCTTTCCGTCCCCCTTTTCTCTCGTCTCTCGACGGAGATCCCCCTCGGATAAATGGAATTTTTCGATCAAGATCGCCGGCTATTGGTCCCTCGCGTTCATTTTCGAATCGTCGGGCAAAAATCGTTTGAAACTTTGACGCATCGCCGCGGCGCGAGATTCTCTTATCTGCGGATAATTTACATCCGACGATCGCATCGGGGCCCACGGTAGCCGCAGCATGCGATCGTATATTTTCCACGACGCGCGCATCACGCGTGAAACGAATCGCAAACTGCGCCTGCGTCGCTCCGAACGATTCCCGCCAATTCCAAGACGAGTCGACGCGAAGGAGATTCGCGACGAGCGGTGACGAAATCATGATAGGAATTTTTGAAAAGTATGAATTATAGGGAAGTTAACAAATGTAGGTTTGTATCGATAATAATTAAGCAGTAACAATTCTGGCGATGCATCACTCGGTGGTGATTTTAAGCGCCGTGAATATAAACAGACACGTTCTGTTACGAGTTATATTTCAAATTTTAGAAAATCAAACGTTTTATTTAATATAATATTAGCAGTTCATCGACGTCGCGTTCCCCATTCGTCAGTGAAATGAATTGTGTACGCGTTGCGATACAGCCTGAATGCGGGGACCAGCTTTTTCCGCGAGAAAACGCCCTCGAACGGTGAAAGTCCGTTTTCCTCGGGGCCGGCGTGGGTGATGCGATGTCGAGCGCGGAAAAATCGCGGCAGGTTAATAGAAATTTAATTTCGAGACGGCCTCCGGCCTCCGAGATCGTTCGACGCCGCGAGAAAGGCCGTCTCGCGTGAAATTCCTGAAATTGCCAACGCGATGATATACATTATCGGTTCCGCCGCGGAATAACGCTTATCGAGCTGGTCTATCTCCGACCCCCTTCATCGCTTCACGTCTGTTAATTCTTCCGTTTCAATCTGTACTCCGTTTTAATTTCGACCCAACGGAATGGAACACTCAACTTCCATCCCGATACACTGGAGAGGTTTCTCCCTTATTCTGGAATATATTCACCATGTTGTTGATTGTCTACTTGGAATGTTCGATTTTGGAAAATTTTCTGGATTTCTGAGTAGTATACGTTTACCTTTAAAAAAATATATATATAAATAAAGCCTGTTATTTACAGATCGCGAATGTAATTTTTCTAGGAACCGCAACCACTCCGGTGACTCCTAAAATCGCACTGACAATCGAACGCGAAAATAATCGAGGCGAATTAAATTCACGGAATCGAACCCCGACATGTACCAGAAGAACGGGCACAAACAATGGAGCGAAACGGTAATTCTTCGCACCCTCACGGTCAGCGAGAATCGATCCCGTCCGACAGACTGACTCCCGGTGTACGTTGACGTAAATCGAAAGCCGAGTCGTCCAGATGCCGAGGAGGCGCCTTAACGATGATATTAATTAATTCCCTGGGGAAATTACGGGTAATCTGGACGTAACCAGGAAGCGGATAATCTTGCACGTCGATCCGATCAAAGTGGGGGATAATTGCTTAATCGACCCCTTAAAGTTGACTCCTGCGACGCTGTCAGCGTCGCGACAAGCCAATGCTCCGTAACGATCGATGAAAAACTGGAACGTGGCATTGGAGGTACGCGCGACGCGGTCGTTCGTTGCGACAATTATTTTATGCTCCACGCAGATTGCGACCGTAAAACCTTGCAGGAAGTATTTACGGTGAGATCCGAGCTGCGATAGAATCAAGGAGGAAACAAAAAATTTCCACGCGCCTGGAATATCGCTGACGACGTTAACGAAGGTAGAAAGTGACAAATTCTTTTTTTATGCTCAAGTTTCAGGCAAAAGTTTGCGCTTGTAGCTCTTGTCAGTTCCACAAATGTACTCTCCGTGACTATCGAAGAAATTTGTTCGAATTGAATAAAATAAATAAATGAATGAATAAATTTTCCTACGATAGAATTTTCTGTCCGTTCCTAAATCCCCCTCGAATCGCAACGTGTCCCTATTTAGGGGTCGCGCCCCTGCTTTCGAAATCACCGCCGATAGAACGTAGAGCCACGGTGACAACCAATCACACGACCAGCGCCGTTTCGTATCGGATTCTCCATCGCTCAGAAATTCCCATCTCTTTTCGATCAATCACGCGGAAAGCTTTATCTCGAATCGACGTTCGACTAGGATGCCTTTCCTACAATTGATTGCTGTTCATGAAGAACAATCTGCATGGTAGAAAGTAATGGGCAATCGGAGCCAACGGGGCTCAAATTAAATTTGATTTCTCGATGCGGGAGGAACGTGGTCGACGACCGCGACGAATAAACCAGTGGTTCTTAACGTTTTTAATATTTATTATTTATTTAATATCGGGGAGAAAAATAGCGAATTCGAGTCCACAAAAAAATAAAAATATTATTGGTATCGGCGCTGTTAGCTTCGGACCATAAGTCCACGAATCTTTCGATTAATATCTTTTGAAATGTATAAAATTCGCGGTATTGTTATCGTAACCTAAGAACGATGAAAGGTGTCCCTTCCAATAAGTAGCCCGAAGTAAGTTCGAAATCCGTTCGCATAACGGTGGTACGTGAGCCATCGATTCGCGGAGTGATCTATCGAGCGATCGGGATGCACGATCTAATCTCGTCCCCATGTTTCTCGTGGACCGCGGACAAAACGTTCCCATCCGCGGAACGATCGACAAATGCACGGGTGGACCCGCTTTCTAAATCATTGTCTAGAATTATTCCGCACAACGAACACCAGCGAAAGAGATTTGCATTGTTAATCGAAATCGAAACAATCACGGAGCGCTGCGCGCATATCGCGACCGATAGATGATGGAATACCGATTATTCGACGCGCTCGACGTAAGGGGACGCCACGTCAAGATGGCGGATGTGTTCTCACGCGCTGTAAAATGGCGGACGTTGTTATTGGTAATATTGTAAAATAATACTGGAAAGTAAGTGCTACCGATTGCTTGACTGATTGAATAGGAATTTAATTGCGAACTGGTCTCTAACTGATACAGAAGATATACGTAACCCAACATTAACGATATAGACAGATGTTTCGTTACCCGAAGCGTACACACCGCACCCACTTTTCCGATACGGACGAAATGGAACCCACCTTCGCCAACGTATCACGACAATTCAAATTTATTGCGCTTACTAATACCCTAAGAAGCTTATTATTCATTGTATGCAACAGTATCTCCGACGACGCGCGCGTGTGATACTCTGGTAAAAAGATACGAGCAAATAAAGGTCCAGTTACAGCTTTTGTCAGCCTCTATTTACGGAGAAATGGATTCAACGACACTTTTCCTCGAATGATCTCGAGGAGAGCTTCGTCTAGCTGTACCCAAAGGTGAAATTGAAAACCTGTACACCTACTGGCTGTTTCTATTTTTATTATTCGAGTAAATCTACACTCCAGTTACAAGTATTCATTTTTCTTTTCGAATACGATTTTCTTGTACTGTTCAAAGAATCATCTAACCTACTTATTAGCATCTTTTAAACTTCTTTCGCTTGATTCTTTTGATTACGAGTTAAAGGAATATTTAAATTTATTTACCGTATGAATCTCGAAGATATGTGCATAAAGGAGGAGTTGTTCGGCTTCCAGGTGGAAAAGCTATCGCGACACACCTGCCCAGGGCGGATTTTTCCGGCCAGCGGACATCCGCGAGCTCTGACGGCGTCATAGCTTATGCATCCACGAGCGTGCACGGCAATTATTATGGCAAGGTAGCCTGCCATGAGTTATGGGAGAGATCTGCATTCTGCAGACCCTCCCCATGGGCTCTATTTCATATCGAGTGTTTAAATCTCCGCCCTCTTCGGGCGGACGCTGCTCTCGTGTCTCTCTTTCGCTCTCTGTGTATTTCTGTAACCGCTAGAATGCCCTCGAGATCTCGTCGTATCTCGCGAGGCGCCATGATTAAGATTTTTACCCTGGTACCCTTGAATTAGAGTCTGGCTATCGGTGCCGCGCGTTTCCATTCTTTTCTTCGTCCCGCGTTAAGGTCGATTCCCACCGACCCTATCAGGGGAAAGGTCTCGACCTGTATCGAATAATTTACGTAACTTATGGAGAATCCCTCTCGTTTGAGTATTATGAAGACGTACTGAGTGCGACTGAAACTGGATGACAACCACTGGAGCCTCGTGTTTTCGAAATCCATATAAGAATCCCTTTCATTCGAGTACCACGAAGACATAATTTCGAGTGCGACCGAAACTGGATGAGAACGACTGGAGGCTCGTGTTTTCGTAATCCTTATGAGAATCCCTTTCATTTGAGTACCATGTCCACGTACTTAAAACTGACCAAAATAGAACCTCTTTCGAGAACTATCACGATACTATGCTTAATGCTACAAATTGAGAACCCCTCTGCTCGAACCCACTAATTCCAAACAATTGGGAATCTCTACTGTACGAAACCCCGCCCTTCCTGTCCTCGAATTTGTGAACTATCGCCGTTAAAATTTTCTCAAAAGTCCACCGCCTGCCCCCATCCCCGTGGGTATCGGCCTTTACTCTCTCTTCTTGCTCCGAATGCGCGAGCAGTTAAGCGCGAGTCGTTACGAGAAGGCAAACCTCTACCACGCCGCGCGGTTCCAAGCGCGATAAAAATCCTCCCGGCTCGATCACCTGTCGGAGCGTGTGGATGCTGTATCGTTCTTCCTTTTGCCGCGATTTTCCCTCCGCCAGCGATTAACCGCGGCGATTTTTACAGCGGAGAGCAACGGCTTTCGTGAGCGACGTGAAAAAAATCGCCAACAGAGAACACGTCGACGATTGAGATGTAGCGCTCGCGTGTTCCGAGTTAACCGGCTGCTAGGTTTCTCTTCCCCTTCCGACGCGACTCTATTGCAACTATGTGAAACTCGGTTGCAAAGAGGAACAATGGTATAATCGCACGGTCGGTTCCGTTCCTAACGGTGCAAGGTGCGGGAACGAATAACGACTAGGGTTGTATTCGCTTAACCCTTTCCCAGCAGCTGAGACACACATATATCATACGTGAACTTGTCTTCTAAGAATATCACAGCGCATATAAACTGGTATTAATATAATTTGATGACGAAGAATTTAATTCTACGAATGGTTTCTTTGAAATACTCATTTTTAGGGTAAAAAAAAAAAATATATATATATATATAATATATAGAAATAACAAAGTGTAAACGATTGCAAAGTAATTCCTTTGTTCCGAGAAGCAGGGTAAAAATTTGGAGTAACCTGATCGCTGGAGCACTCACACGTGACTCAGCCTGGCGGCTGGTCATAGAACGGCGCGGACAATCGCGTTATCTATTGCCCCGCATTATTTCAATCTGCGCGTCGCGGATCTCGCGGCGCGCGGAGAATTCAATTTCCTCTGAGCTGCACCGGCCGGTGTCATTCACTTCTCGAGACAGTACAATGGTCCATTTCATAGATCGCTTTCGTTAATCGCGCTACCAGCCTCGCCGCTATTATCGTCCCCCTCGAAAACCACGTACGGGTTACGTGACGCCTTTTCATTAGGCCAACCTTTACGAACGCGGGCGTCGCGCTCCTCCAGCCGTGTAATTCGCTCCGCGGGCCGTGAGAATGGAGAAAATGAAAATGCTTACGAAGGATCTGGTTGTTCGTCGGTGGAAAAATTCGGAGCCATTTTTCGTACGTCTTACCTTCGTGGAATGTAATCGTATCAGTTATTTTTCGTTCATCCGATGGAAATTCGTATTCCCGCGGGCACACGCGCGCGCACAGGCGACCGTTGACCGATGAGCGCGCTCGCGCGTATAATAGGCCGCGATTTACAATCGCGACCAGGCCTAGTCTTCGTCTCGGTTTTCACTTCGGTAAATAATAGAGATCGCTCGATTTCACCTTCTCGTTTTCTGACGAATGTATTACGTTAAGTCCCTGCCTACCTGTTCGTCGGCGCGATCAATTTACGATTCACCGGAGTCGTGCACGGAGTTGGGCAGTGATTACTTCGTGATTACTTTACCTATCATCGCTCACAATCGTCGAATCGATCGATAAACATACGCTGCGCTTGTGATCATTTTCATGGGGAGAATATCACCGATACATTCGTGATACTTTCATGAATACGCGGTGGAAAATATTGTTGACAAATTTAGGATCAAGTCTTTGGGTAAAAAGAAGTCGATGAGTTCTTTAGCACTTTTCAATTGGAAGCTTGGTTGTGTAGATAGAAGCAAGTGAAGGGTTAGTGGAGCATCTCTCGGAGCGCGACGATTTGTATTGCAGTCAGCTGATCGTATCTTGAGCATGAAACCTCCGATTGAAAAACGGCAAAGGACTTTTCGATTCGTATAAGCGCGTAGATTTGATCTTGAAGGTTCCATATTTCTAGCAACGCTCTGCGTATTAAATGCCTATTTACAATTGATGCGCAGAAGGGGCGATACGAGATATCCTGTGTTCCAATGCTAAAAGATCCTTTAACCCACTCAAATTCTAAGCTTAAGGATTCCAAGCTCAAAAATTCTCAACGATATACACTGTGACACGATGCTAAAAACTTCTCCAACTCCTTAAAATTCTAAGCTTAAAAATTCTAAATTAAAAAATTCCTAGTTTTTAGGATTGACTCTTCCAATCTTAAAGTTTCTCCATAAGTTTCAGATACACCCTGTACATTCACCGATGCATCGAACACATTTGCCAACGTTTCCAGCGTTCTTTTAGTATTCTACACATTGTTACCGTGAAACACGACAGACCCAGACGGGGTTTCGTTAAAAAAAAAAAGAAAAAAGAACAACTCGCGAATCTCCTTGAAAATCTTGGTGCCCCGTCACGACCCACGGGCGTGCATAGCTTTAGGGAACTGGAACTCGCAGTAAGGAGTCTAGATAATCGCATTTCATACGGCGATCCGCATTCCGAGAATTCGATACTCCGCGGGGAAGAAGTTGTTCTCCCCTTTCCGAGGCCCATTCGAGGCACGATCGTTCAATTTGTACTCGCGAACCACGACGATTATTCTTAGAACATGACTGTTATTTCGAAACTATTGGTAAAATAACACGGTGCGAGTTAAACGCGTAATGGGAGCGTTACCCCCACTTCTGTTCTACAAAAAAAAACGTTACGAGGCGCAATTAAAGCGAACCGCAACAGTCGGCTACTGGGTAGTTATCGAAACAACGTTCGAAAAATTTGTCACTTTCTGCTTCTATTTTTAGGGGAGTTCCGTGACGGAAAAATGAATTTGGTAACAAGTTTACGTTCGTTACTTTAAGAAACAATTGAACGAGAAGATGAGTGGATACGAATGGAGGAAAAGAGATTCCTGAAACCACTTACCGCTGGTTGAGCTGTACTCGCCAATGTACCGCCTCGTCAAATACCGCACGACTACAGCTGAAAGGAAAATAAGATGGAATTAAACGTGCGAAACGCTTGACGGCTCTTACGAGAGCCCGAACATAATAATAATCACGATCGAACTAACTATTAGGTCTAACGAAACGTTTCGTGGCCGCATACGTGAGCTTTTCACGAAGAATATCAATAAGAGATAATAAGACAGTGATCGTATACAAATTTTCATGTTTTTTTTTTTTTTTTTTTCAGTCAGCCGAAAGGGTGCGACAATTTTAAAATGCCTTCAACGCCTCTGGGACGCGTCGTCGACGCGTTGATACCAGGCGTGAACGAAAGTACTGCTCGTTTGTTTCTTAATTTTAGCAGAAACAGGTTTACGTAAGTGAAAAGCAATTCATCATCCGTATAATTTCTCTGTTCACGCGACCCCCTCCACGTCCCAGACTTTTTCAGTTGCGCGTGCAGAGAAATCTGACGCTTTTCAGACAAAAGAACAACGACCGCCGTCGAGCCGTGCGAAAACGATTCAATCTGATGTTTACGTTACGCGCGTAATGTAGGTAGACGCGAAGGCGATCGCGAGCGAGCGAAATTACTCGAAATATTTCTTTCTTTTTTTTTTTTTTTTTTATTATTCCCAAGAAAAAGAACGTAAGAAACCGAAACATGGATCGATGACGGAGTTTCGCGTTTTAAGTAGCAACGCCGAAGCGGAGGGATATATCGTCGAATCTTCCCTCCTACGGCGTCGGGAATCGGTTTATAAGCTATTTTTCGAGGCGCTAGGTCGTTGCAGCGTGTAATTACGGGCCGATAGGTCTGGCGAGATCCCGCTCCACGCAAAATTGCAGGGTTCAAACCGAACCAAACGAGGCAGGCGCTTCGTCGAGCGAACTAGCGTGTTTCTCGCGTCGGTGAGCTGTCGACAGGAGGTGTGGTGTACCCGGTAACAGAATACTTTTATCGCGACTAATGACGCAAGGCCCCTACCCGTTGCTTTTTACGATTCCAACAAACGTCGAATGTGAACAGAGGAAGAACCGTACACGATCCGAATTTGAAGATTCAATTTAACTTGCGATTCAATAATTTCACACTTTAACGTTGCAACAGGAAATAATTCAATTAAATTTGATATACACTTTTATGCATGGGGGTGCCGTTCAATTTTTATTTCGTGTGCACGAGATGGGGCGGCGCGGCATCGGGTTACGTTGTTCAGCATAATGCACGAGCCACCGGTGATGCACGCCGCTCCACGGATTAGGAGACGAATGATCCATCGGTGATGGAAACATGATGAATTTTTCGAGCCATTAGTTTCATATACGAGGAATCGATGCCACTAAATTTCTAGAAAAGTTGTATCCGTGCGTAAAAGTCTCCACACCTCGGAACTGATTTGGCAAAAAGGTGCCTTATCATTGCCTCTGCATACGAAGCAGAGGTGCCATTACGTTCTTGACAAAAGCGAATAAACTGGGTGGGGATAAATACCGCCGCAGGGAGTGCCATACTTCGCAACGCGTCGTTGCACCGAGAGACGAACTGGGTTACCAGGAGAGTTCCTTCCGCAGCCAGCTTCTTCCACGTGCGCATTATACGCCCACGCGCGGCGGCAGGGAATCGACGAAAATTCAATTAAGCCACCAGTCCGCCGGCGCGAATATCGATCCCGCCCCCCTAATTAATTCCCCTTCGAAGGAAACTCGCGATGCCCACGAATTATTCGCAACCCACGCGGATCGGGGCCGTGTAAACGCTCGCGCATTCCCGACGGGGCAGAAGCGAGCGGAATGGTAAATTCCTCGCGGACACGCCGCCTGATTTATCGAATCTCGACGGAGCTGTACCCTGGCGGGGCGCTGGGAATTTCGAAAATGATTTCATCCGAGGACTTTTTAATTGCTTCCTCGGGGACGCGTCGTGGCGTGGGCTGGAGGAAATGGCACGGGGGAAAGGCGATGTTTATGTTAGACACGACCTAGACGCAACGTTCGATGGGAAATTAATCGACGAGCAAGTGCAGGCGGCTGGGTAAATTGTTGGGGAGAGATTTATAGTTCAACGGGATATGCTGGCGTACCAACGACTGATTTCATTGATTCGCAGTGCGGGGCTAATAGGTGTTTTATAAACACAAAAGTGTTTGTAAGTGTTTATAGACATAGAAGAGTCTGTAGCTGTTTATAAACGTAAAAGAGTTTATAAGGGTTTATAAACGCTTACAAGCTTAAAAATGTTCGTAATCTTAGAGGTGTTTCTAAGTGAGTTTATAAGTGTTTATAAACAAAGAAACGTCTGCAAAGTGTCTATACGTGTTCATACGTGTTCATACGTGTTTTATCGATACAACGGAGCAGCCCTGTACAATAGTGGCCGCCTTCCAATGAATACGCTGTAGCAGGTGTCCTCCGCGACACTAAAGCTGACCGATTACGTCGCGAACAGGTCCGAACAACGCCAGAAAATGTCTCGTGTTTCAAGCATCGAGGTGACGCAACGCAATTTCTCGGCCAAGATACGATCTGTGGTCGAGGAGTGTCGGCGCGACGACTGGAGCCGCGAGACGCTTCTCAATAGTCTTCCCTCCCGGACCGTTTAGGAGTGCCATCAATTTCGGGGTAACCAGTTCGCTACGAACCCGGACCGACTCGTCTCGCCGAGACGGATCGTGTTTTCTACGGTCGAAACCCATCGGCCGAGCCGCTCCTCTCGCGGAGGTCTCTCATAGAGTCGGCGACCGCTGCGACGACAGATTTATAAACGGCGTGTATACGAGAACTCGACGAGCACTGGGACCAGCACGGATCTATGTACTCAATAAGTCTTCAAGGGTCGAACGAGAGGATACGTAAGTCGGCGACATGTTAAGTTCTCTCGCGACGTTTCGCGAAGTAACGAAGAAATTTATGAAGCGAACCTCCTCTTGTGCAGCGGTTCTCAAATCGGGTGGACCCTCGAAAGGGATTGAGAGGGTTGCGAGGCACTTTGGTTCGGTGATCGAACTGCTCGGCAAAAATTACAGAAGCGATTGCCTCGAAGTGCGACGAAGTGACGATAATTCAAATCTCCCTTGACTGAGTAGGTGCGTTAAAGTGTGAAATTTGAGAACCGCTGCTCGTCGAGATGCGCTCGTACATTCATAACGTCGGGAACGTGTATATGGGCATTCCCTTTAACGACATTTCCTGTACACCGCCGGCCGTTAATTATCGTTATTACGTATTTGATGCAATTTTTCTCTCCCCCTACCCTCCACTATGGTTTCTCCGGCAATACCAACCGCCACGGGATAACTTTCTTCCACTCTAAAAAATAACCGCTTTTCTCGCAATATGTGCCCGCTGTTATTAGCGATTTCGCGTTTAACGACGGTGATTACGTTAATTACCGATCACTGTGCAACAATGCAACTGTGTTAGACGCAGCAAAATCTAGAACACGGTAAGTGATGGTTCGGGGGGGGCACGGTACGGATGCTCCGAGCACCTAAATTTCGAGTACCAAGTTTTAAGTTCTTTTCGATCATTTTTTCCAAGTTCTAAACAAAATGATAGAATTCGTCTAAGAACTGCGGGGCGTCAAAGCGTCAAGACGAATCCAAGGAAATGCATCTCTCCAAAAATTCAACGTCCAGGTACCCACGAAGTGGCACGCACGCTTCGAAGGGGAGCCTAGGGAAGGGGGGGAGGGGAGGGGAGGGGCGCTGACATTTCAAGCGTTCGCAATTTGTACCTTTTGTGTCGAACGAAAATACGTGTAAACTCTCCAAGCCGAGCGTCGCTACGAAAGTTCATACCCGAGGGAAATTCGAGACACGTGTCGGATACGTAGAAGTTCGCCCATACGAACGAGAAATTTATGACGCTCGGATCCGCGGGGATCTCCTATACACGACAGCCAACCTCACGGGCATTGTTGCGACCCGTAGAAACTCCGACGGCGCTTGTGAATGGCCTCGTCTAGTTCATAAGTCCTGAATTGAACGCGTCAACGGGCTTATCGGGTTAAATCTCGAATACGGGACGCACAGCGACGCTCGTAAATGCAGGCGTTACCGCGACGATACACGATAATGCGTATCATTAAACAAATTCATAAAGCGACTGATAATCGGAGCTGCGGCTGGGGTCCGTTCAAAGGCGTCGCCTTGCTCGCAATGGTCCCGGAGACCCTCTCTAATCCACTCAACTGATTAATGTACAGACGTTAATTTTCTTTAGTATCGATACCGAGAATTGCAGTTTTTAAAAACGACGAACTTTCATGAGTTGTACAAAAATGATAATTGCTTAAAAAGATCCTTGAAAATATCGTAATAAATATTGCCCAACGCAAACGTAAAAAACACGAGACCTCGGTTCGGTCTCCAAGGGTCTCTCCTCGACTATAAACCCGCGTAACAAAAGTCGCGCATAGCGATCGGAGGTTGCGGTTCGATGCCGTTGCCGTGAATCGGTCCTTTTTATCTTGCTCCTTCTTATCCGCGGCGATCGTGGCCGTAATTACTATTTTCTTACGTGCACCGAGCTTTATCCGCCGTGAATCTATCTATAGACCACTGTACGCCGCTCAGACAAGCATCGCGCGTCAGCGAATGGCACTGCGCTTCGGTGCAGCGCGCTCGCTGCAACTGCAGCCGTATTTCGTTCTCGTACACCCGCATCTTCCAAGCGCACGATTCACCGGCCAAGCGACTTAATCGCTTTTCAGACTCCTCGGCCTAACCATCTATCGCTCGTGTGCCGGTGATACACGATCCCTGGATCCTATCCATCCGTAGTTCATTATCGGCGCGTTTTAATTGGCCGGCCGTTCGAACTTGGAACTTACTCGAATAACGAATAAGCGAACGACGAGATTCCGCTGTTCTTGTGGCACGATTTGTTCGAGGTATGTTTCGTTGGCAAGTTGGACTCTATCAAATTTTACTTCACATTTTCAATTCGCGTTTTTATTCGAGCAGTGTGAAAATTGAAAAATAGAAATCGAGCTTATTTAGAGCTCTATTTTCAGTATTGCTTAATAATGATTTTTGTTTGAATTTCAGTCTTGGAAATGGGGAAATATACAAATAATATTCGTTTCAAAAATTTGGTTTTTTGTCTAAAAAAAAGTTCGTGAAATATCATCGTTCTGCTTTCTCTGGCACAAAGCCCCGTGCAATATTTTTTCGTTCGCTTTATTCGGTCGCTCCATCATCCCGTTTGATTATTCATATTTGTAATTCATATTCGAGTTCGACCCAGTCATATGAATCAAGGCGCACGAACGAGGCTTCGAGCTGCGAATTCAGCTACCATAATAAATCGTCGCGAATCGCTGATTCGCACTTTATATGCTCATTTGCACGCGCGTTTCCTGAAATAGACGCGCGTGTGCGTGAAACTCGATTTGTTTCTTCCGTCGGGAACGAAAATTCGCGTTGACTCGTCGACTGTTTGAAATAAAATACTTTGTAATCCAATTATATACATCGCTAAATAAACGTACAAGATTACTTTTATAGATTTACGAAATATACAACCGATGTATTGTCCTCTAAATGTATTAAAAAAATTCGTCTAAATTAAGTGACAAGTTTGATATATTTTTAACGAAAAATTTATTTCGAATCATCAAGCCTGTCGTTTAATTCGTATAAATTTCTTAGCCATCGACTGATAAAATACGACGCAGAAGTTGGTCAAGATAAAATAACGAGTACGAAGAACATAAGACAGAATTTATCCCCCCCCCCCGCCCGCCCCCCGGCCTCCCGGAGGGGCATTTGTGATTATGCTTTTTTTTTTTTTACCGAGCTGGTAATAAAGCGAGTCGTTCGGCCGAAATGAATTTATGAATACTTCGCGCGACATGGAAACGCGCACCGGCTTCCAATTGCTACTTCAATAGGCGCTAACGCAGATAAATGGCCCTAACCGTAATCATCGACGTTCTCGTTGCTTCCAGGAGCTTTCCTATTAATGCATTCTGCAAAACGAGCGTGGCTCTTTATGCATTACCGCGAATCTCTCAACGCGGCTATTGCGCGAAAATCTCCGAACGATCCATCGTCCCTATTGAATACACCAAATCGACCGTGAACTTGTGAAAATATACGCCAAAAACGTAATATCGGATCATTTTCCTACGCCTTCGCGTTTCTTTCTCCAAATAAATTTTCGGCCACGTCGCAAAATATCGTTTGACTTAATTTCAATTTTGACACAATTCCCGTGAGTAAACATCCTTCGTTTCGACATTACGTTACTCTATTACAAATTGTCATTATTATCGTTTTCACTTTTTTTAAACAGCAATTGTTGAAAGCCGAACGAATCAGGAATTTCCACAGTTGCGATACAACTTTGGAATTCGTATCAACAATCCGTATTTGTAAACGATGCCTTTTGTCGATATTATATCATTTATTTTTTCAAAGAAAATGTTTAGTACGGAGATAAAGCGTGCGCTTGTGTTCGCGACGCAATACCGAGTTCACGTTCCTTAATATGTTTACGAAGTTGCAAAATACGGAGCTTCTGCTCACGTGCCCCAAAAAAATGTTTAAAATTCATTTTCTCGAAGACGAGTCCCTCCGCAGACAAATTTTATTTCGCGCTTTCTATTGACTTTTTTTTTATCGAGAATCACACCCCGTTCGTAAGAATACCCTCGGTTGTCGCGGAACCGAACTAAGAAGGGTTTAAGAACCACTGTTCGCGAACAGAGACTATTAGTCTCCGAGCGCGATAAATTTTCATCACCCGACTCGATGCGATCGAACCGACCGTGGAACAAAGTGAACCGAGTAGTAATTCTAATTAGGAAGTGGACGGCGGTCGGTAGCCCGTGGACAAGGAGCGGAAAAATCAATCGCCATGCGACCACGGGATTCCAGCGGACGATTCGTCGGTTACGAGGGTTCGAAGTGTGGAAACACAGATTCGTCGGAAGCCGATAAGGGCAGGAAAAAGTCGCATCGGTGCGTAAACTCGGCATGCGACGGGTTCCCCCGAACCGAGGGGGGAAGAAGCGTGTGCTCGGTAACAGAACGGATGTATCGGATGTCCAGATCTCTCAACCTGCTGCCGTGCGAGGATTTTTCGTAGTTACGACGGACCCGTTGACCACTCTCATGTGATATCCGATAACGTCCACGGAGGTCCTTATTATACCCAGCGGGACGCAGCCTCTCTCACGACTTTTACGGATTCTCTCGCCGGGAATATCCGCTTTCTGATCAAACGGTCGTTCTGGGGACCACGAGGGAGACCGTGTGAGAACGCATTTTCGGATCGCGATCGCCGATACGCGTCAAGCTCGATTCCAATTGCCGCATTGAGGGAGGAATTTGTATCGACGATGTGGCAAATATTCGTGGGACTTTTTGTACAAAGAGTAACTCTACTCGGTCGAGGGTCGATATGCGTAATAAAATAGTCGTAAAAAATAAAGTGGTCAATAAACTGGGTTATATCGCGTCTGCGTTAACCGATTTCAACGAAACCGATAAAATAATTGAATCTGTATCTAAGACACCTTGCGAAGGCTATCGGTTTCCTAGAACTCCGCGTTGTAACCCAACACCCACCAACTGGCCCTCGAAATGTTTCAATCCTCGACTTGGGTGACCAATTCCCTTATCGAGCCGCAACCCGAGCCCTTAGATAAGGCAATAATTTTACCTCGCGCGAAACCATCGCTGCTTCTCGGAATTGGATAAAACGCATAAGCGACGAAGAACGGAAACGCTGTCGCCACGAAATCTTTTTCATAATTACGATTGTCGCTCGTTGCTTTAAAGCTGGCGAACAACGCTCGAGTGCGGGCACCGTCTAATTAGAGAAGCCTGAATATCGCGCGATCTTAGATAGTCGCGAGATAAGTGGATCTTTCGATCTCGAAGGGTGACATTTTAATTAGTTCGGTGATTTTCGATCGATCCACGTGCGGGGTAGAAATTTTCTTGTCGGATTACAAAAACGATATCGTTTCTGTTACTTCGTTTGAGTGACATTTTCACGTGGAAAGCAGAGACTGGTCGAGAGTTGGTAATCGATAGATCGCGGTTCTTTATGCAAAATGAAATCTTGACAAACGTGTCCACGAAAATTGAACCTAAATAGAAATTTATTTTATTCTGAAGATATTATAACATAAACGTTACTTTCAATCTTTTTGTATTCTTGCATACCGTGCGCATTTTGTAGTTTCTCGCACATTCAAATTTTCTATGGATGCATAAAGATCCGCAGTCTAGTAATCAATTTTAATTACGCGATATTAATGGCGACCCTACCGTGAAAAATTCCCGACGCGTATACAAGAGAGGATTTACACTTCATTCGCGGGTATCAGTTCCATGGCTTATTAATAGGATTAATTCGAGGTCGGTGAACTATCTCATTGCCTTCATTTGCTCGCTTTGTACGCGTCGTACGACTGTCGGGCTAACTAATGCACTGTATTATACCAAAGACTATACGTATTCATCTTAACGGCACTTTCATTCAATCCGTCGTTGCGGTATTAGATAGACGTGCAGAAATTACACGCTTTACATGACACAATATTAGTACTATCCGCTATAATTAATACCTCTCCGATACGTTTATATCCGTAACCGTGGGACGTAATTTTCTCCAACGATCCTTATCTCGAGCGTATTGTACACTCAACATTCGATATCAATTTTCTTGCAAATTCGTTTTTCGAAAACGTTTAGCGAATTTAGTTTGAATTATTTAAAGTATATTTTTATATTTAAAAAAAATGCAGGTCTGTTCGTTAGTTTTCCTCGAAAGATAAATCAAGCCAAGGGGAAAGTATTTCGTCTGAAAATAATACGGATTCTTGGCATTCAGAAGTGTAACAGGAAAACAAAGAAGACGAAACAAATTTAGAAAGAATTCAGATTTTTGGCCAGACTTATTTATAGAAAAATATCTTTTATTCCTTATTCGAAATTATCTCTAAAAATAACAACGACGCCATTAACGTCCTCAGTTCTTAATTCCATTTTTGTTCAATAATTATTTCATTCATCGATTACTCGTTTCAGATCACGAGAACTGTGTAAAATTGTAATTTATTAACTTCTTTTTGATAAACAATGACATTCTACGTATTCTCCGAAATCTCTAGAATAGATAGATTACAAAAACAAAAAGTAGCTATTTATGTAAGTTGCGAAATTAACAAGAAAAGAACAATTCGATAAAAATCGATAAAAATGTCGAAGCAATAAGTATTCGTAAAACTGTTTAAAAGCACTTGACTGGAGATTTGATGTTTTCTAATTCGCACGGAGCAATGAACTAATGTGTTTACGTTACAAATTCTACCGTAAATGGTTCGTCATAAGAATCGAACAAATATTTATTGCTTCCATACTTTTACCTACTTTTCGCATTATTTTTGTTAATTTCTCAAATTATATCAACTAGCAAATGTCGTTTGGACTGTACCTATCTTAGAGACTTCCGTGAGAATATGTAAAATATTATTGATTATAAAAAAAGAAGTCAGGAAACAACAATTTCACGCAAAAGTTTTTTAGGAAACCACTGTACATAACTTCGACCATCATCGTAATATATTTCGCAATAAAAATATTATTCTAAATTCCCTCAGCAACGTCTCTATTATGATCCGCTCCGTCGCATTAGTGCCAAACGATTCGTAATGCTTTTCGACAGATGTCACTGTCGCGAAAAACACTCGTACAAGACAGCACGCGACATTCGTTATTCCAAGAAATTCCACGGTACATTACAACGATCAACAGACCTGACAAGGTTAATGGCGACGGTGTTCGTCGTGAAATAAGAATTGAAATATTTTTAGGTTACCTGATTTTCCGACTCTGGGGCCGCCGAGGACGACCACCCTGATCCTGTTGACGTTTGTCATCAGACGTGGATGTTAGGTGTCATCCGAGCCTCGCTTGCACATTATATACTCTCCAATTGACACTGTTCGCGGTGTATTTTCACTGTACGCGTAGTCCGTTTCGTTTCCGCGGCATCAGAGTTCGTTTACACCGCACACGCGATTGATTAAACTGACCGATTCCCGATCAAAAAAGAAAAACTGTTGCACTGAAACGTCACGTTTCGACAGAAGGCTTGTGCCAAACACGACGCGTATCGGTTCCTTGTCGATTCTTGTCCTTGCAGCAAGCTTCCGTTTATTCGCATCGAACGACAACCAGCAGCGTGCGTAACGTTCGTCACTTGTTCCGCTTCCACTGATCGTGTCGATTCGCGGTGGCAAATTCACGTGGTACGTGCAACCGAGTTCTCATTCCGCGCACGATTCCCTACGGCGCGATAAACCGTATTGAGTAAGAGCTACCTACCTCTTTAGACGGCGACGACACGTCGATCTTTCGAAACGCGTCGCTCGGATTGCGATTCACCGCTCGAACGTTGCAGCCCTCTCGCGACGAGACCGAGACCGAGCCTCTCGAACTGTCACAGCCAATCTCAACTCGGAGAGAGTTGGGCAGAATTTAATCAACGTGAAACTTCGCTTCGCCCATCTCTGATTTCTAATTCCCGGCGCACGAGTATCTCGGATTCGCTTTTGCCGGTGTTTACGCTTCAGTTTTCGTCCATCGAAACACTCACGTGTCCGAAAGTCGTTGGAGACACACTGGCCGGACGATCGCGTCGTTGAAAATGCCCGCTTCTTCCCGTCCGCTCGATTTCTCGCTCCTCCGCGATTTCTCTTTTTTGTCCCTTTCGAAAACTTCACTTTCCACGGTTGCCGGGATTCGGCTGCATCCTCTGGACCACGGTGTCGACGGACCGCGGCGTTCCGGTCGCGTCGCGGGAAAACATGCGGGCCAGCGCGTCGACACGCTGCGAATAATAACAGAAGAAACGATTCAAGAAATGCTGTCTTGCTAGTTCCATTTATAACGGGTCGACGGCCTCCCTCTCCTCATCTTCCCTTCTCGCTTGGCGCCGCTAACGTCCGACTCGCGTATGTACGGATCACGAAAAGGAGGTGAAAAGAGGTTCGACGATGAGCGCGAACGCGCGCATGCACGCACCAAACAGGCCAGCCACTCGATCCCTCCAACGGTCAGACGAATACTGAAAGCGAACGGCGATGGTAGAACTAGACCCCAGCGCCGCCCACGTGCTCTCCGCGATTCCCTGCGTCGCGCCGCTCCTTTTTTCCCTTCTCGTTCCACGGTTTTTCGCGCCGAACCAAACCGTCGACAAATCGCTGCTTCGCGCGCGAACAAGTTCAACTCGACAATTGAGACGCCCGACGAGGAAACGATCGAAATAATTACGATTTCATCCTGTGCGGCTGACGTCTATTTGAACTATTTTAAAAGACTAGATACTTCTCTTTATTAAAAATTTAATAGCTTTGCAATAGCTTTGCAAAGCTTTTCAATTTCTTTAATGCTCATCTCATCGATATTTCAATTTTTATTAAACCGATGTGAACATTTAGGAATATTCTTGTTTTTATCGAGATACAAGTTTTTAACCGAACTATAATATATTAAGTAACTGCGGGTGAAATATCTCGGATATTAACCCTCTGCGCTCGCGTGGCACCTCTAGGACGACATATGTAATTTAAACCCGATTTTGTTGAACGTACAATTAGAAATTCACTTTCATCAGAATAGAATTAATTATTAATTGAAATAATACTACATCGAATTATGAACGTTCGTAAATGTTTTTCTCCGTAGTAGAGTTTTTGGTTTCACAGAAATTTATTATAAAAATGGACTGGATTTGGTTCTATAGAAAAATGCCTCGAGCGCGAAGGATTAAGGTTGATTCTCAAATGAATATATAGAGAATATATGGATCGATATTCCGTGTGCACCAACCCTGACAATTCGCAATTTAATAAAAAACTTCCATTTTGATAAAAAAAAAATTGGTAACGCCCATCTCTTGTAAACATAATTCATTTTAACATAAAAAAACATCCTTCGTTTATTTCGACCTCGCGACTCACTCATTTGTCAATTTTTCTTTACTTCTGTCGATCCGAGTTACGAGATTAGATAAGACACATTAACGTCAATAAGCTTGTGTCTTTCTTTGAAACAAAGAGTAAACCATTTTTGAGAACGTACCTTTATCTCGAGAAGGATTGCATTCGAATGGAGAGGATACAGTACAAAGATGCAAACAACCGACACGTATTTATTAAGAAACCGCGAGACGAATGTAATCGAACACAGCATTTCCCTTACGGATAATAAGCAAGTCGGTCGACTTCGTTAACACGTTGAATACTTTATCGCGGTTTATCGCACTCACCGGGTGACAGATGCACATATTGTGGGCACAATGCAGACGCGCCAAGCGAGGAGAGATTAACCTAAAAAATCTGCACGCGAAGGAACGTTGTGTTTCGTACAATAATTCAGGCGTAACGGAAAGTCGATGAATCTCCTATCAGCGCGACCTCCAGAAGGACGACCGCGATGTGCAAACATTCAACAGGCCGCAGATGTGGCCCGTGTTTACACTACGAACGGTCGATTTCGAACTGATTCTCTGGAAAGATCTTTGCGAGACGATCCACTTCACTAATAATCAACGAATAATTTACCACTCTGGATTCCGTCTACTCTTTTACTACAAATATAAATATACCGATCCAACAAACATTTCAAGCTACACACGAAACACCACGGTTAACAAGTAAAGAAACTATCGAATCGCGTTTGCAGGTTTCGATACTTTACCAACTCGACACTAGTCGCCTCGATTCAAAGTCCATCGGAAAATCAAACATCCCTATAGTTTCGGCACGGTGGTGATTTTTATAGATTAATGGCGCGTGACACGATTCGACCTAACGAATGTACAAGAGTACGCATAGATAAATACCTGATATCCACTAGAAGTAATAAATGTACACAGCGTAGAATTCCACAATGGTACACGTCCCTTGTTACGCAGATCACGGCTTCAAGGTTCTTTTTTCGTTGTTTCTATTCCGTATCGTACGATGCTAAGCGGGACGAAACAACACGAAGTTCACAGACTATGGTACGCGTACGATAACGAGCGAGCGAGCGAGCACGACACGCGAAAATAAACTCGGCACCGATCTCACCGAGCGCTCGCCGGCGAATGCTCGAGCTTGAGTGGCTCGCGCTGTCTAATATGCACTCTCCAGACTACCCACTGCACGCCTCGACCACGGCATGGCGTACCGCTCCACGCTACAAGGTGACTGGCGTGTTAACAGGTAAGCGGAGACCGATGCGCGACCCGCTAGTACTCTAGGGATGTTCGATTCTCGATTCTGTACCGAGCTAACCAGAAACGATCAAATAGCGATTCTCTTCGACGTACCTTAGACGAATCATTTATTAGGAGTACAAATAAATTCGTGGCCTGTTCTGTATTCAATCATTTGTAACTCTGGTTTAAACAGATTAGTTGTAATTTTGATATGTTTGTCTCGTTTCCCCTTTTAAAAGTTTTCCAAAGAAGGAAACGAGACAAACATATCGGCAAACTTCAGATTTATTCGAAACCTAGGGTTTTGTCCATCACTGCATTAAAGCAGGGGTGGGGTTAAAGTCTCTAGACCCTTGGGGAAAATTGTCGGTGGTTAAAATAACTAGACAAATATAAATCTCTATGCTTCCATACATGTATTATGTTTGCAGGTTTTCTAATTTATGTTCGAATAACCTGCCTCACCGCTACCTAAATCCAGTACTGCATTCAAGTACCAACCTTCCAAGTCTTCAACCTGATCTCTATTATAATGTATCTATGCACATTTATGCACATCCTTACACATAACCTAAGTCATAATATGATGGACATTACATGCAGATGAAAAACGAAATTTGCATGTCACTCGAGAACAGAAATATCTCTAATACATGTGCTCACGAGTGCATGTAACTACATGACTATTTTCATTACTTTACGTATTTTCTTTAACGTACTTCTTACAAGACAAAACACGGGCTAGCGGTCAGGGTTCAGCAAGAGTTGTTTCACAACCTAACCCCTAATCTTCTTACATTAACACCTGTCACGTTGGAGACACCGTGTCTGGGATCGTAACCTTATTGTTATCGAATCTAACAAGCTCTTCAAGGATGATAATTGCTGATAAAAATCTTTGTACGCGTTAATACCGAACTATCCACTGATACACAAGATAGTAATGTTATGATACAACAGGAAGATTCTTACTCACGCATTATGAACATGTTTTCCAGACAAATCTATATTAATCCTACGTGACAATAAGCACGGAGCGATATACAACTGTGAACAAAGCTTGAAAATATACCTTTAAAAGTAGCCATAGTCAACCGTTATTTCTTGATGTTAATGAAAGCACTAAAATCTTCCAAAACGCAATAGAAAGAATAATTCATCAATTCAGCCACTCATGACAGGAGCACAACCTTAAACCACCTTAAACTAACGAAAGATTGGGTACGATATCGAATGGCGTGTCGCAAATAAAATCGAATCAATTGCACGCTTACGCCGCTGTTCACTCGACGTAGAACTTTCGTTGGAAACGCGTCGTAAGGAAGAATCCCTGCATTATCGATCGAGATTCGTGTACCTTCGCGGATAAACGCACGAGATTCGCAATTTGGTGTGCGTGTATCCATGGCAACCGAATTAATTAGGTTCTAACAGAAGGAAAGCACTTTCCACTAACACGGTATTTTGTTTAGTACCATGGAGGCGAACGACGTAGAGCTTAATCGCGTTGGGAGACCAGAGAAAATGTCATTGCTCGAAAGGTACGGCATACCGGTCGAGCATCTTTCGTACGAATACATTTCCGAATGCACGAATGGGAAAAAGCTGGAGCGCTTAGTAACTATACTTCGGTAAGTAGATACCATTACTCGGCGGGGTTTTCAAAGTGTAGGAAAATCGTATTCAAATTAGACGTCGGTGTAGTTCATTTCTAATTATCTATATTTTGATTGAAGCGTTTCGATGATTGTTTACGTTCGAAGACTTTATTTTATAAAAACGAAATATGAAATGTACTGTCTTGAATAGGTGATCCACTCTAATATTTGATTCATAGTTCTGGCGAAGAAGGCTATTACCCGGATTTAACGAAACACGCGGAGGAACGTTTGGCTGTCGTTAAACCGACGAGTACGGTTTTGAGAAAAACCGAACCCATTCTCAGGCGAAGTATGCTAGAACCGAGCGAGTGCAAGAAAATTGACACGGACATCAACGATTGGACATCTGAAATGCAGTCACGGGAAAAGGATTTAAAGGAAGGAAAGGCTACCTTGGACTTGGAATCACTTCCTCGGCCGGATGTCAGGCAATTTATCGAAGAACCTGTAAAAGTATATTCATTAAATATACATTTCTAATTCACTTTTGTCATACGATTATACATAAGTTAAATCAACTTCTGTTTGTTGATTTAATTAGAAAAATATAACGAATACGAGAAGCGCTGATAAAATAAAGCGAATCGCTTCCTGCGATTACTCTGCGTGGGATAAGTACGACGTCGACACAGAATTGAATAAAATAGATATTCGAGACGAACAGAGGCTGGTTGAAGCTAAAAGACTTCAGCTAAAACAGAAGGGAGTAATTGAAAAAAAGAAACTCGATAAGCAGACAATCATTAACAAATGTACGTTGTTAGCGGTCGAAGTAGTGGATCGAAGCATATAAATGTTATAGCATCGTTGTAAATTTTTTAGCATCGTTGACTGGGACCGAAATAAACGTCATGGCGGAACAGGAAAGGGAAAAAGGAAACGAGGCGTTCAGGTCTAGAGACTATGAGGAAGCTCTCGAACATTACAATACTAGTATTAAGATAGACTCGAATATAACTGCGTACAACAATCGCGCGATAACGTGTAAGGGAAATGATTTCATTAATTATATAAAATAATTCTCATTAATATTCACATGTATCTTCAAAGGAACGTGTATACGTGTATTTTCAGATATTAAACTTCAACAATACAAAAAGGCACTCAACGACTGCAATATTGTACTTAGCATAGAATACACTAATATTAAAGCCCTTCTGAGGAGAGCTATGGCTTTAGAGCATCTCGAAAATCCGTCTAAGGTAATTAAATAACTAATGACGCGATCGCTACGAGAAATAAAAATTTAACGAATACTTAGGCTTTGGCAGACTACGAAGCGGTTTTGAGATTGGAACCAACGAATCCGAGCGCGATAGCTGGAGTAAAGAAGTTGAGGAAACCTTGCAGATCTAAAAAAGTGAGGTAAAACCTTGAAATAAAAATTGAGAAAAATTTAAATTAGTTCCAGATTAAACCCAGTCTGATTTTAATTTGATACTCGTAGAATGGCTATAGTGGAACACGAAGGAAGGGACGAAGGAGAGTGTAACGAGGTGGAAAAAGATCAAAGTTTCTGTCAGCAATTCGCGTCGAAATTAGCTATCGAGAATAATATATGTTTCTGCGACAGGGCGCCAGGGCCGTCGCAAAACCTGAGACCCAGACCGCACTTCAAAACAGATTATTGCCTGGAGAATGATAACAGTAAAAGTGTAGCGATTAAAAACGACACTTCAAAGAAAGCTGAATCGTCAGAAATTTTAACTTCTTGTTGTAATTTCCCGCAAGAAAGGAATTCCTCGTTCGCAAAACCAAAATCAATATTTTCTTACGCGATGCCTTCCAAGCGAGGTAACTCAGTTATCATCGAGGAATTACCTAACGAGCCTTGCAACAATAACTCCATTATCGTAGAAAGCAAATCAGTCGAAACGACTGTCGGTAAAAATGATACCAATAAAAATACGGCGAATAAAAAGAAAATGTGCGAAAACGTGGAAAATATCAATAAAAATCACAAAGAAAATTGCAACTTGATCAATGGAATGTCTTCCTCGAGGAAAATGCCAATTGCTGAGGAATTCGAAAACTGTATTTCAAAGGTATGCTTATATTACAACCCGTGAGAAATAAATAAATAATCTTGCTTAATTTTCTAGAATTTTAATAATATCGAAAGCACCTACGAATTTACGCGCGTATGGCGGTCGTTGAAAAATGATTTTGATTTAGAAATGCACGCTCGGTTGCTGCGGTCTGTGGACGTCGATAAGTTAGGCGCAGGTTGGTAATTTTTGTCGAATATAAGATTTTTTACGTTTCCCATTTCTGCACGTAATTGTTCAGTTTTAGGCAACGAACTAGACGGAAATATGTTCAGTACGATTCTACGTTGCCTGGAGCGTCATTTTTGTACGCCTAATGACACGGAGTTGCTTAACAATTTTTTGAATTCGGTCACTCGGGTTAACCGTTTCTCGATCGTGAATATGTTCATGGATACGGAAGACAAAACAAGTATGTCTATAATTGAAGATGAAGTAACGGATTCAAATATCGAGAAACGATATTTCTATGATTGTTGTAACGATTAATCATTTCTTTCAGTCATCACAAACATATTGAACTTCTTAGAAGAGCACGGGACGTCAGGAGTTTCGTCATTGCGGCGAATTTATCGCGTCTAAGAATACCACTAGTTTTTAGATGATTTGAATCAGTCATGCATCATAGTAACAATACACAAGATACCATGCTATAGCAGATAATATATTCTATTAAATCAAGTTTGTAAAACGTATTTCTTCATAAGTCATCAATTACTTAAAGCTATTTATTAGAATTGCATGTTTACCGTTACTGGATTTGCGCATATTTCGAAACTTCTCCTGGGCGGATATCGGGTGGACTCTTTCTTCAATCCCCTGCATGAATGTTCATCGAGGATGTCGTCAATTTTTCTCGTATAAGGGAAAAATCATAAATTCTATTTTCTGCCTCTCTTTCACAACATCACAAACGTTTATGTATAAAGTACACTTACAAGACGAAAGACTCTGGCGTTCTTCAGGTTATGATTCCAAGTACCAACTGAATTTCCAAAACTTTTCTACGCAGACGCCGAACACGTTTGCGCGGGAAATCTGTGGCGACTCCTCAATCAATTCGACAAGTTACCGACGAGCGGCATCACCTCACTGAGCCCAACAACGTTGGCGGCATCACCAAAAACCTTTTAATTATCTTTGTTCAAGTATCTCTTTGCCAACACTTTATTAATCCCAAAATTCACTTCGTTGAGATTCATTCAACAGCAGCTACAGGATCCTTATGTTTCACTCAAATTCTGTCTTGAAAGGGATGGTTTGGGAGGTGATTTGAAACAACTTTTTCCTTAGCGAAAATGTTGTCCGAGGCTTC